TCAGCTTTAATAAAAAACCTAGTACAATTTTCATAGCAGTTTTTAAAATCCTATTTATACAGAAAAAAAAGTTAATACAGCAGGCCAGAGACTGCTATCCCTAGAAAAATCTACTTGCAAATTAACCTTTTGGTTGGTGTCTGGGACTTTGCCTTTTGAGGCAGCTCCCATTATTTCCTGACTGATACGATTGGATCACTGTGCCCTACTGTTGAACAGAAAAAGTAGTTTATGCTGAACCTCTACTTTCCTTCTGGAAATCTGGAATTTTGGTACATGCTAAAGCCTATATGATGAACAATAAAAACGCACAGGCTCAGGTGAGCTTATTTGATGGATAAACTTTCTCACATGTGGTAACAACAACTCACTGCTAGAATGATGAAGCATGTTCAACATAACTCCATGAGGAGAGGGCTCTTGGAAGACTGAACTTACTTTTCTCCATACTTTACACAAGTGTCTTTTCCCTTTGACAATTTTGCTCTATGTTCTTTTGTAGTAATAAATCACAATTGCAATATGACTATATGCTGAGTCCTGAGAGTCTTCCCAGTCAATCGTTAAATCTGGGATAAACTGGGAACACTCAAATCCCAAATTTAATGTATAAAATTCATCCTATAGAGCTACGCCTGTTTCAAGCACATTGTTTCATATAACACTGACAACTTGCAAGTGATAGCTTTAAGATGACAAAAGCTTAGAGTCCTACCTCACTCAAAAGACCATTTGCTTTTTGGATTACTAAAGAAATGATATTCAAAAGATGAAATATCATATTAAGTAAATACAATATTCATTAAAAACTGGACAAACACAAAAGCAAACTCAAAAAACAAAGAGTTTATGTTATAATCCAAGAAGTATTTAAAATCAAGGTATTCTTACCATGTGGTGTGATTGTCTGTACAGGCTTAGCAGGGGACCTCACATTCCAGATGGTCAAGGTACCATCTGAATGACTGCAAATAAATTGTTTTCCTTCATGATGCCAAGCAACAGAGTGAATAGCCTAAAGAAGAAGGAAAAAGAATTTCATTTTTCAAACTTATTTAAATATCAAACCTATCATGAATAGTTTTATAAAGAATTTTTATTTTAAATTCTTTGTATATTTTCCAAGCTGAAATCAATGTTAACTTTACTTTTCCAAAATTTAGCATTCTTGAAATACACAGAGATTTTATTTCATACTGACAATGTTTTAATTCCTTTCAATTATTTTACCTCTTTTTTTATTTATATATGACAGCAGAATGCATTACAATTCTCATTACACATATATAGTACAATTTTTCATATCTCTGGTTGTATACATAGCATATTTACACCATTCGTGTTTTCATATCTGTACTTTGGATAATAATGATCATCACATTCCACCATCATTAATAACCCCATATCTCCTCCCTTCCCCTCCAACCCCTCTGGCCTATCTAGAGTTCTTCTATTCTTCCCATCTCCTGCTGCTCCATATCCCACTATGAATTAGCCTCCTTATATCAAAGAAAACATTCGGCATTTGATTTTTTGGGAATGGTTAACTTCACTTAGCATTATATTCTCTAACTCCATCTATTTGCCTGAAAATGCCATTCTCTTTTATTGATGAGTAATATTCCATTGTGTATATATGACATATTTTTTTTTATCCATTCATCTATTGAAGGGCATCTAGGTTGGTTCCACAGTTTAGCTATTGTGAGTTGAGCTGCTATAAACATTGATGTGCCTGTGTCCCTGTTTTTAAGGCCTTTTGGGTATAGGCTGAGAGGGTCAGCTGGGTCAAATGGTGGTTTCATTCCCAATTTTCCAAGGAATCTCCATACTGCTTTCCATATTGGCTGCACCACTGTGCATTCTACCAGCAGTGTATGAGCGTACCTTTTTCCCCATATCCTCGCCAACACTTATTGTTATTTGTATTCATAATAGCTGCCATTCTGACTGGAGTGAGATGAAATCTTAGAGTGGTTTTGTTTTGCATTTCTCTAATTGCTAGTGATGATGAACATTTTTTCATATATTTGTTGACTGATTGTACATCATCTTCTGAGAAGTGTCTCTTTGGGTCTTTGGCCCATTTATTGATTGGGTTATTTGTTTTTGTGGTTCTTTATATATCCTAGAGATTAGTGCTCTATCTGATGTGTGAAGGGTAAAGATTTGCTCCCAAGATATAGGCTCTCTATTCACCTCACAGATTGTTTCTTTTACTGAGAAGAAGCTTTTTAGTTTGAGTCCATTCCATTTATTGATTCTTGAATTTAATTCTTGCACCACAGGAGTCTTATTAAGGAAGCTGGGGTCTAATTCCACATAATGGAGATTAGGGTCTACTTTTTCTTTTGTTGGACGCAGGGTGTCTGGTTGTATTCCTAAGTCCTTGATCCATT